ATTTTAATCGAGTAATTTCTTATCGACAATTAATTGATAATCGATTAATTGCTTACATCCCTAGTATATATATATATGTATATATATATATGTGTGTGTGTGTGTATGTATAGGTGTGTGTGTATATATATATATATATATATATATATATATATATATATATATATATATATATATATATATATAATGCTGGAACTATAGAAAGTCATGACAAAAATCACTTACTTCATTTCATTTTGACCACAGACCTTTTTGGATAAATTAAGCAATTCTTTGGCATATTTTTCTTCTACAGAAGCCCTACAATATAACATAAAAATAAACACAGTATTTATATGATGACAAAATTAAGACCCATACACACATCATTTAAACTTGGAACAATATGTTTTGTTGTTCTATAGTAGTACAGACTGTTGACAAATAAAAGTAGATAAAGTCACATTCATTTGTCACATTCATTGGAATTTTGCCTTCCAGACCAACCATATTCTATTATATAGGAGACAATATTACCCCCACAGTCATCTTATCAAACCAAAGTTGGAATGAGGATCCAAAAAAACAGCCACATGAGTAAATTCATCTTAAACAGATTCAGGTTCAATGAGGAAAAAACCGGAGAGTTCACTTGCTTTTTTTTTTTTTTTGACAAACAAAAACCAGGAGCAGGCAGGGCCACACGTAGTGGCATACCTTGAAAATCAGCTTTAAATCAGGTTGTGAATTGAAAGTTTGCTTGAGGGGCAGCTCTCAAACAACATCCGTGTGAGTATTGTTTTAAGTTGAAATGAACATCCTACAATACAGCTGCAACAGTAATACTTTTTATACTGTTAATATGACATCAGCAGAAAAAAAACACAGCCCACATTGCAGTGTGAAATGTCAGAAATAGTTGCAAAAATGCTTAGATAAGTGAATTATTCATTACGCATAATGAGTTACAGTTAGGTCTATCTTTAAAAATACACACAGAAGCCCAAACTGATGTGATAAAATATGTAATGTAATAATGCTGCTGCCTTAAAGGATTAAGCTAGTAAATAGAATACAAAGTTCATTAATCTTTTCTTTTAGGGAAACTTTGCTGAAAAGAGGAAATGTAAGTTAAGGGCTGTTTACTTAGAATCTCCAAAATTACATTTAGAGTAATCCAATTGAAAATGCCCCTGTGTTTATTGTGACACAGTTACAACATAACTGGTACACTCAAAGAAGCTGTTATATTCTGTAAATTAATCATAGCTATTGTTAGTGCTCTTTCGTCAACTAACAAGCGTGAGCACAGAGGAAATTTAACATAAAAAAAAAGAGAAAAAAGAACAGCGAAGACTGCTGATCACACTTCTATTTGGCTAGATGCGGCAGATACTTGCCTGGCCTTTATGAAGTCCTCTAATTCCTTGCATGTCCTCCTGCCATCATTCAGATGCTGAATGATGGTGTCGTACCCGGCGGTGCTGGTGATATCTGCACCCTATCAACAATATGAAGAACGGCCACCGGCATGAATCATGGCGGGGATACAGGCTGCGTCTGCACCATGCAACAGAATGTTCTGGGCATGTCAAAAGTTCGTATTTTTCATAACAGTCTGTGAACAATTAAGGTGGTCAGAAAGGGATTATGGTGGGAGCGTCCTTCCTCTTCTAAATAGTTGTGATCATATGTTTTTCACAAGTGGATTTTAAAGTGATCATCATCCCATTCCCCTAAAACAGGGTACCTCGTCTACTGAAGACTCTTCCCCAAACACAAACCCACCTACGTACATTTCTCAAGCAAAAATGCACATGTATAACGTGCATTTGGGGATTTTTTTTTTTAATATAGTGGTCGGTGAGGAATAAAAACAGATGGGCTGGAGAAGTCTAACAGGAATCAAAATTACGAATTTCCCTTACACCATGATTATGGTATTTAGCATAATTGTAGACCTAGCTATATAATTCATGCGTACTTTAAGGTTGGACATATAGACATAATAATCTTCAAAATGGGAGATGAATCTATATGGACTTATGTTGTTAAGTAAGTAATTTCGACGTTTATTAGTATTAAAATCATACCCATAATAGGCTAAAAGCTATCATTTCTACAGCAGGTTTAAAAGAACAAACAATATTTTAATATATATCACAGAGTCAGAATCAGTTGTGAAATACAACCCGTAGGCTATGTGTTTTTATTTAGACATTTAACAGCCTGTATAGTTAACCATGTAATCTTTCTCAAGAAATCCTTGAAAATCTTTCTTTTTTAAATTCTTTTTTTTTAATCAGATATTTTGCATTAAAACATAAAGCAGCATTTACCTGACAAGGGCCAATTGTCATTAAATGTGATTTTAAAGCGAACTGAAATCGAGAATGGCTAGTCTGAGCCGTTTCATATTTTTTTCACAAGATCTTTAGAGAGAATAACAGCACTTCCTTTTGTGAAATGACCTAACCCTATGTGAAGCAATGAATAGGACTAGCTCTTGAACTAATCCATGATCACAGAATTAACTAGAGTTGCATTAAATAGCAAAATATGAAGAATTCAAGAACATTTTCTTTCAAGTGGGTGTATAAGCGGGAAATTGAGAATCAGTTATAATAATGATCAATCATTCAATTTAGGCTATTATATTGATTGTCGTAAGTGAAATGAAAACCACACTAGTTACTCACCCAGAAATTGTCTTTAAAGTGAAGTTCAATCATTCCGAGAAATTAATTGCTATACGTGCAGCGCAACTGCGTTCGTCCGTATGGAAAATGACCGACGACTGAGACGCAGTGCGCTGGTGCGGCCGGCCTGGGCTGTTGCAAACATGTGAAATAGCGGCCTGAACTTCCTCAAACAAAACTAGTTTATGATCTGCTGGGTTCTAAAGTCCAGCGAGAATTGCGGAAGCGGAGTGTTCTCTTCTAACGCCCCCGGGGACGCGTCGTAACGGGTTCCCAACACAGCATAATTAGTATTTGTGGCTTTGACGGAGCACCACGAGTCTTTTTTCTTCAGTTTAAGTGAAGCATGCATCTTCCTAACACGGTTCGTTTAAATAAAAAGTTGTCAGTTGTCAAGTATTTATCTGTAATAATACTCAGTTACCTGTCTTTAATATAATTCTTAGTGTATGAGCATATGAATGATCATATGGATCATTTTGACACGTCACAGTTGTTGCCACACATTATTTCACGAAACAAAAAAGGATCCTATTGTTTATCTTGGGGAATTGTGGGTTTTAGCTGCTACGGCAGCAGACAGGGTGAGGGCACCCCCTTCTGCTCTAAGCGAGCAATCTGAAAACCCCAGCCAAATCTTTGGAGTATATATTGTGTGCGTATAGTGTACATACTAACTACCTTGAGTGCCTGTTACTTGAGGTCTTTCCAATATTTATTTATATGACGGGGATCCATCATTGGCCACATAAGATGTTCAGCAATATATAGAATATAACCATGGGTATATTACCAATTTAAACATCTGCAGTAGTATTCAGTCCTTGAAGACACGTCATATTACCATTACACCTGCAGGACTAGGTGTAGAGAGGCTGCCACATAGCATCAACAGGGCTGTAGGGGGCGACAGCTAGTTAACCATAATTTAGAAAATCCTGTTCAACTTGACATACATAGCATGAGGTAGCAAGATGACTTTAGACCCCATTTCTTTTCTTTCCTACTTGAGAGGAACCAAAACTCCCTTGCCCTGTGATTTTTTTTTCTCTTTTTGTCATGTCCCAAGTATGTTTGTTCCTATACATGTGCAAACATACCTGGCCAAATAAACCTGATTCTGTCGCTAGTGTGTGAAAAGTCATTTTTAGGAAGTTTCTTTCCCTAACAGCACATTCCATTTCCATATAACACACCAACCATCTACCCCGGTAACAGCTGTTCATACTGGCTTCAATGCAATTTGCCTACAAGGTCCCAAACCAGGCGATTCTTTAGTCTTGACCTCCATTATACTCAAATTAAGAATGAACTTGCATTCTAGCATTATACCCAATAATCTGCTGCCTAATACAACCCTGCATTTCATACTGAAGATGAGTCACAGATGGTTTACATTATTTCATTATTAAATTTCAGTTACTGAAAAACCAAACCAAGACTAAGCTGACAACAAGTTGTTATGCAGTCATTACCATAAATGAGACTATTTGAGGGTTGATTCTGTAGCAAAAACACTGAGCATTCATCCCTGAAGACTGTAGGGTATGAAAGCTTTTTTTTTTTTTTTTTTTAAAAAAAGTCCATTAAACACAAACACATTTCAACAACATTAAACATACAGTTCAACTGAGAAAACACCCTACATTTACACTGATGTGTATGGATAGAAAAGAAAAAAAAAAAACTTTAACGTTCTGATTAACCCAGTTCCATTGTCATTACATGCTAGACAAATGGAGAATTGAATGAGGTTCAACAATGGAACTGATAAGCTTTTCCCCCCAATTCCAAATATTTTGCTAACTCAAATCCCTCAGCATCTCGATCACCCATCCTCCAGATGGAAGCTGAAAATGGCACAAAAAAAGGCTAAAATAAACCACTCGCATGCAATCAAAGAAATTCCATTCCATATATTCTGGAGTTAACATTTTATTCTCTGTTTGGAGATCTGTACATTGAAGATGAAGTGCCACAATCATTAAGGTTCATATAAAGTTAACTGAAGCACTTCTCAAACATTGACAAGACGGCCACTGGAAAAACCCACACAAGTTTAAGCATCGAAGCTGGACAGGAAATTCAACACGACTTCCTTCAGCTTCGCATCTGCTGCCTCTGAGATCTTGCCGTCGGCCCTGTAACAGAACAGTTATGAAGTTAGTCATGTCTTCTATCCCCAATAGCGCTACTCTAAAATTATACCATAAGATGCTATTCAGGGGCAAGCATCAGCAAAGCACTGCTTCTAAAGGTTAGACCAGGGGTCTCAAACTGCAGTCCTGGGGGGCCGGAGCCCTACACAGTTTTTGGTTCACCCTCATTTAACACACCTGATTCAACTCCTTGTGCTAGTTACCACACAACTCTTGAGCTGAATCATTTGTGGTGGAACAGGAAAAAAACTAAGCTACACAGGGTTCCGGCCCCTCAGGACTGGAGTTTGAGACCCCTGGGTTAGACTATCACAGCCTGTGTGGCAGGCAACGTGTAATTAACAATTAATACAAGCATGTCTTATGCAAAGCCCTGGTAGATACCTGATAGTGGCCAGCAGGTCCTGGTGCTGGCTAAGAACGTGCTGCAGGAAAGCCTTCTCGAACTTTGTGATCTTGCTGGGCTCCAACTTGTCAAGATGGCCTCGGACACCAGCGTAGATGACTGTCACCTGTTCCTCAATAGCCATGGGGGCTGTGGCAGTGAGGCATGCAATTAGGCCAGGGCAACAAAGAGAGCCAGAGTACACAAGTTAAGGCGACTCAGCTGCCATGAGATCACTCACAGTACTGGCCCTGCTTCAGCAGCTCAGTAAGACGCACTCCACGGTTCAGCAGCTGCTGGGTAGCGGCATCCAGATCAGAGCCAAACTGGGCAAAGGCAGCCACCTCACGGTACTGGGCCAGCTCCAGCTTCATGGTACCAGCCACCTGAGGAGGGGGGGGGGGGGACACAGATTACATAATGCCCAGCTTGTCTATCAATCTGTTTTTGTCTGTGTTTTTAACAAAAAAAAAAAACATCTAAAAAACACCAGGGTCGTTGTATTTGAGGGCCAGAATTTAAATGTCATTATGCAACAGCAGATTTATGTTAATGCCATAACTAATGTTTGCCATGGAATGTGCATTTCATTAGCCTGTAATTGACAAGTAAACTTGGTTCTCTTGTCTGTGCCACTGCTAGTATCAAATAAAAATAAAAAGATCTGTCATCTTTAACGACTCGACCACTCGGCACAATACATTTTTTTGGTCCCCTTTATGTGGGTCTGCTGCACCAGAAACATTCAGTCTGCTCTTGGGTGTGGAGTTAATAATATTGATTATCTATCTACACTTACTGTGCTGCGATTGCCTCAGGTTACTTTTTAACAATGATATGCTTAACTTCATATACATTCTTGTTAAATAAAAATTTCTCTTTATGAAGACTTGATATTCCAAAAGTGCTTCCAAAAATGTATTTTATATTGTCTGTGCAGGTACTGTACATACTACACACTTATTTAAAACAATATAGACAAAACACCAACAAGGTTCAAAATTAAGAAGCACTTAATGTTTTCCCTTTGATTTCATAGAGTAGAGAAACTAGTCCGAGTTGGTCATGCTGCCATTTTTCTGAATGGAGAATTCTTACATGAAAAAATAGAGGTCATCATTTAAGGATAATGCATTTTATTTTCTTAAAAGATACAGTTTTTGTATCGTTACCACTGTCCAGAAACTGACACAAACCTAAACAGTGGGAAAACTATCATTACACCCCTAGTAAACACACACACAGCAAAAACACCCACCTGCTTCATAGCCCTGGTCTGGGCAGCTGATCCTACGCGGGACACAGACAGACCTACGTTGATGGCAGGACGGATACCCTTGTAGAACAACTCAGTTTCCAAGAAGATCTGTGAAAAGCAAATACAGGCAGACTTTCAGGACTTGAGGCATCACTCATAACCAGCATGAAACCGGACTGGAAACATTCAAAAGCACCATCAGTTAGCGTCGCTCACCTGACCATCCGTGATGGAGATGACGTTAGTGGGAATGTAGGCAGACACGTCACCGGCCTGGGTCTCAATGACAGGCAGTGCGGTGAGGGAGCCACCACCAAAGTTGTCGTTCATCTTGGCTGCCCTCTCAAGCAGACGGGAGTGCAGGTAGAACACGTCCCCGGGGTAGGCCTCACGCCCAGGGGGCCGGCGGAGCAACAAGGACATCTGACGATAAGCAACAGCCTGGAGGGAACAGTGTATGTTAGAACTGCTCATACATACCCAGCTGCAAAAAGCTGAAACGAAACACTGCTAACTCACCTGCTTGGACAAGTCATCATAGATGATGAGAGCATGCTTGCCATTGTCTCTGAAATACTCTCCCATGGAACAGCCAGAGTAAGGGGCCAGGTACTGTAGGGGGGCAGCATCAGAAGCAGTGGCAGATACCACAATGGTATACTTCATGGCATCAGCATCGGTCAGCCTCTTCACCAGCTGGGCCACAGTAGATCTCTTCTGGCCAATAGCGACATAGATGCAATACAGCTTCTTCTTTTCATCAGTCCCATCATTGAACCTCTTCTGGTTGATGATTGTATCAATGGCAATGGCGGTTTTGCTGCAAAACACTGGGCGTCAATGCACCGTTTGCGAGTGTGCCACTTATGTCACTTACAAATGCTGACTCCAGAGAATTAAGCATCTTACCCGGTCTGCCTGTCACCAATAATCAACTCGCGCTGACCACGCCCAATGGGCACGAGGCTATCGACGGCCTTGATTCCAGTCTGCATGGGTTCACGCACTGAGATCCTGGGGATGATGCCAGGGGCTTTAAGTCCTACCCTCCTACGGGTTTTGGACCCCAAGGGTCCCTACGGTAGGAAAAGAGGGACAAGAAAGCAAGCTTTAAAAACCAGAAGTGTCACAAAAAGATACAAATATACAAAAGATACTCAAAGTCTATATAAATGAAAAGGCCGGGAGCCTCCATATTTACCTTCCCATCAATAGCATTTCCCAGAGCATCTACAACACGACCCAGAAGCTCATCACCGACAGGAACATCCACAATGGCGCCAGTTCTCTTTACAATGTCACCCTCCTTAATGAGTTTGTCATTACCGAACACCACAACACCAACGTTATCTGGCTCCAAGTTCAGAGACATACCCTAGTGGGAGAAGATCGAGATCTGATTAAAA